CACACACACACCAAAGAAAAAAGGAAACTTCCTCAACCTGATGAAGGGTGTTTATGAAAAATCTAACATCCTATTGGTTAAAAGTTTCAGCCACGGAAATTAGGCAAGAAAAAAATTTTTAAAGTAGCCACTTGAGAAAGAAGAAAACCTATCTATTTGCAGATGGTAAGATCTTGCATATAGAAAATGCTAAGCAGGTTATGGCAGTGAACTCCTATTGGGAGGCTATATGGGAGGCTGAGCCTGGAAGACCACAAGTTGGAGGCCAGCTTGGTCAATTTAGTGAGACCATGTCTGAAAATCAAAAGAAGGGCTGGGAATGTGGCTCAGTGGTAGAGTGCTTGCCAACCATGCATAATGCCCTGTGTTTGATTTGATCCCCACTACCACACACAATCTTCATCCACGCATGTGCGTGCACGCACGTGTGCGCGCGCACACACACACACATACACACAATCCTAAAGAATACACACATGTGCACACAATTAAAAATAATAATAAATAAGTTCCCTTTCTATTTTGTGGAATAATTTAAGGTGCACTTGGTATAATCCTGGCTGGTGAGTTTTCTATCTTCTCATCTTCAGCCCTTCCCAGGAAGCCAGCCAGGTCAGTTGCTGTGATTATTACTGTTGCCACATTTTAAGGATGAGAGAAATGCTGAGTGTCTTGCCCAATGTCTTGTTTACCAATTCAGCGTTGGCTCCTGAGCTTGGGTCTCCAGAGAGCAATGCTCTTCCCTTCCAGGAGGCATTGGTCCCAGCTCCTCAGAGCCTCCCCACGCCCTAGGAAACACGCTTCTCTGAACCTGGAACAGACAGAGCAGCCATAAAAAGCAGCTAAAAATGGTTATAAAGATTAAACAATCATGGGGGTTCATAGCACTTCCAACAGAGAAGTGAGTGAGGGCTCAGGCCTGAGGCCTCCACGTAGGGCTCAAACCCTGACATCACTGGATGGGATGGGGCCTCCTGCTGCAGCACTGGGCGGATGGGAAGATAAACACAGAGTCAGTGCATAAGGGCTGTCCCTAAACTTCACCCCGCAGCTCACAGTCAAGTCCCTGGACCCCTGGAAGCAGGACAAAGGAGAGGGCTGGCACCACAGGGTCCTTGGTGGGCATTGAGGGTTACCCACCCCACTGCACTCCTGATGCTCCACTCCATATTGTCGCGACCCCTCGCCAGCAAAGGAAACACGACGCAGGATTCTTCTTTCAGCAGTTTACTCAGGACCTTTGAATCATGATGAGAAAACAGGAACAAGAGAGGAAAGAGCGCGAGCGGTCGGTCTGCCCTAGCTTAAGTACCCAGCCTCGCCAATGAACTAGCACCACGTGGAGGAGTCTAATAGGTACAGCGCAGCGGAAGCAGGCCAGAGCCCAGCCCCACAGCCTTACAAAGAGTTGTTTACTTCTAACAACTCTAACCGCTAAGTCATCAGAAGCAGGAGGCCAGCGCCATTTTCAGGGTGCGGTCGCTGGCTCCCAACACCATATGATTCACATGGGACTTCAAGTAAAACTTCCAATTTAAAATAAATCTCCTTTAAAACATTATAAACTACTGGACTAGTCTCAGGCCTAATTAACAGCTAAGGAAACTGAAGCCCAGGATGGTAAGGGACTGGCCCAAGGCCAACCAGCTAGTTAGCAGTGCAGTCTTTTCTCTTTGTCTATCCAGGGACATCTGGGTGTGCTCTGAAGCCCTGTGACTTAGGCCCCGCACCTTCTTGCTTCTTGAGCTGCAATTGTTTCAGCTTCAGGGCCAGCCCCACCTCAGGGGCCTCCCCCAACAAATGTGCAAACCACAGACACCCCTTTCCCAATGCACACCTACTACTCCTCACTTCCTAGATAGCTGCAGCCTTGCCATTCTCTGGGGGGCCCTGCCCATGTGAGTCAAAATCCATACTTTTAGAGTTGGGCCCAGGGAGTTCTGTGGGATGGTGTGCTGGGGAGTATCATGGGGAGCACAGGGCCTCCATTGGATCCCATTCAGTCCCTCCTCCCTCTGGAGCCACACAGCTTCTGACATGTACCTGGGGAGCAACAGGCCAAATGCAAGGAATCACTACCCCCCTTAGCCTGGTCTCCTGACAACCCTCACCCCTCAGCTTGGAAAGCACAGAGCCTAGTGTTCTCATCCAGGAGCCTCATCCAGGCTGCAGTTCCCCTCTACCTCATTTCTTGGGGTAAGAACCTAGAAAGGAAAGAAGAGGGCAGTTCCCAGGGGTTCCCAGAGTGCCCTGGAGAAAACCCCAGAGGAAAGTAACAGTGAGTGTCAGGGCCTGGGTGCTGGTGTAAGAGACTGAGGAAGAGGATCCAGCTTCACCCCACCCCACCAGCCCCAGGGTCCACCACTGGAGCCTCTGGTTTACCAATTTACTTGGGTCCCAGTGGTGCACAGAGGTGATGTAACAGTTCCTGGCAGAGCCCTGGTCTAAGGGATTATCCCCGTGAAGGAACTGTCCCTGGAGAATGATGGGGATGGGAAGAGGAGCTCAGAACCAGCAGGACTGGGCATATCCAACTCCCAATGACTGTCCCTAAGTTGGTCAGTTAGCCAGGACTCAACCCGGGTCTGGAGCAAAACTCCAAATCTAGGGAAGCCCAAGAGTGACCCTGGGCCTCCTGCCTTCTCAAGCTCCTAGGAAGTGTGTCCTCCCCAGACACTGCTGACACTGCACCCACCCCTCCTGCTGTGGGGGACCACCACTGAGCTATTGGCATAGCCTCTACTCAGCCTTGAAGCCAAAGAGATTTTGGTCTGGCATTGCAAGCTATTTTGTGGCTTATTATGCAAAGCATGTGACCTCAGTCTTCACTTAGCTTTAGAGGCTTCTCTGTAGCTCCACCCATTGGGCTTGGACAGCCCACCCCTGCCTTATTTGGTGAAGAATATTATATGGAGAAGCCTTGTGTCCTCCACATAAAAATAAAAACGCGGCTCACTCTCTCTCTCCTTCCAGTGTGGATGCAGGACCCTTAAGGTCACAGAGCCGTCCTGCTCTCGCATTTCAAAATTATTTCTGGCATGTGATTTTTCGCTGTATTTTGCAGCCAGCTCACTACACATAGGGGAACACAGCATATCTTGTCTGCGTAGGCCTGGGGCAAGATCCTGCCTTTTCAGGGCTCCCTCATCACTTTGTACCTCCTTTTGCAGCATGCCTGTTCTGTCTCCACTGGCCACACATGTCCCCCCATGTCTTCCTTCTAGATACCATATAATATCTTCCTTATGCTACTTCACAACTGCTCCAAAGACACCCACTCCCAATTAATTCACTTTCCCACCTCTCATTTTCTTCTAAAAATGTGCCTTTATTAAATTTCACTATCAGGGAGGGCAGTAGCAGTGGGAATGCCCAATCATATTTCCTAGTCAACAACCATATGGCACAGGAAAATCTGGGCTGAAGGCCCTCAGTGTCGGGAGCTGCCCTGGATGCAGATGCCTTTAAGTCCTGATGCACCAGGTTCTGACCAATTATTGTTTTCAGCCTGGCATGGCAATGCCAGGTCCCAATAATTTGGGCGTTACCCCATTCGGATAATGAGGCATGGCTCCAGGTGTAGGCATCACCCATAGGGGGTTAAGTTACACTCACAGCCATACACTCATATTAGGAGTGCAGTAAGTAATCCTACCCCTTGCCTCATTTGAATGGCTTCTCCCCAATAAAGGGGTTCAACTCATGCTCCTCACTCTTTTTCTTGCCTGCCTTGCCCCCCTTGTGGGAGCTGCAGCCGAAGAGCGGTCACTGTACCCAAAGAAAAGGTACTTTCTGTGTCTGTGTCTTTATTTATTCCCCAAATTCACTTGGAGTGACCCTGACTTGTTTAGTCGTGTATGGCGACACTTCAATACACAAAGCAGTAAAGGATTAGGTATGCAGCTTTAGTGGTAAAACACCCCTGGGTTCAATCCCTAGTACCAGAAAAAAATCAAGTAATTAACAGCAGAGCGTTAAAAAAAAAAAAAAGGCAGAATTTTTAAATTTGGAGAAAGAATTTTTGATTAGGTGTTATAAAGTATAGAAAATGTTGATTTTACATCAGGTATGGAAAATCCTTAAAGGAATGATAATGAATAAATTTTTAAGAACTGAGCAGTAAATTTGAATACTTTCCTTTCCCCACATGGAATCCTGTCCGACAACACAAATAGGATCCAGTAGCTCTGAAGCACCCAGATCAGCTTCTCTCACTAGCTCCACTCCTGGGGTTCTGGCTCCAGTTCTGTGTCTCAAACACCCTCACATTCTACAGGACCAAAATTAAATGGCATCTTCTTCTTGCCTCATCTTCTGCCCAACTTCCTGCTGCCTTTCCTTCTTCCTCTTATGCCAGGGGGATCAGGGCATCAGGCTTATCTCTATTCCTTTCTTTATTTCCTTCTACCCACAAATGGTTCTTTTGTTGTTGTTGTTGTTGTTGTTTCCCTCCTTTATCCTTTGTGTGCTGAGGATTAAAGAACCCAGGGCCTTGCACATGCTAAGCACACACTCTACCACTCAGATATAGCCCCATCCAGAAATATTTCAGGGCAACAAAGATGCCTCAGTCAAGCTGGGCATAGTGGCACACATCTGAAATCCCCGAGACTTGAGAGGCAGGAGGAAGGCAAGTTCAAGACCAGCCTTAGAAATTTAGTGAGACTCTGTTTTAAAATAAAAAATAGAAAGGACTGAGGATGTAGCTCAGTGTTAAAGTGCCCCTGGATTCAGTGAGCAAAAAGATAAAGTCTTGTCATTGCACTGGGGGTTGAAAGCACATTGCAAAGAGTATGGCCAGCTTACTTTCAGGGTCGTGAGGCCTGCAGCAACACAAGGCCCTGAGCACTGTGTGGAGTGGCCAGGGTAGCAAAGAAAGAGGGTATCATGGGAAATGAGTAGGCAATGCAGCTCATAGCACCCAGGTACATGCAGAGGAGAAGCCAAGAGAGTTAAGTGTTAAGCATGCAAGAGGGCTATTTCAGCTACTTCCAGTTTCAGAGGCTGTGTCTAGTCCAGAAAGGGTAGTCTGAAAACTGTCTGCTGGCTTTGGCCATTGTTGAGAGCGTCATCATGATAGCAAAGGCTTGGGCTAGGGCTAGGGCTGGGCTGACAGGGGCCAGGAAGTGAAGGGTTGTAGCTTTTGAGCATGGTCAACTCTTTCATGGAATAAGGCACAGAGGATACAACAGGTGGAGTAGAGGCTTGGAACACTGAGGGCAGGACTTGGCTTTTAAGATGAGGAACAAAAATGTGTACATGACCATGGGAAGAAATGATAGTATGTCTTTACCAAAGACATACCCATGGCCAAATGCTGGTAACAGCACATAGGGCACTTTCTGGTACCAGCCACTGTTCTATGTATCTTTTGTGAATTAACCCACATTTCCCTCTTCTACCAGTAAGAAAACTCAAGGCCCAGGAGGTTAAGTAGCATAGCCCAGGTCTCCTTGCTTGTGTGTTGAAGAGCTGTGATTTGGACTTATGTAGTCTGGCTCTAGAGTCCTTGCTACCAACCACCAAGCAAGTGGCTCCAGGAGAAGTTGCAATGTAAGAACGGAGTAGGGAGGGAATGACAAGTAATAAAGGAGCCCTGTCTGGTGAATCCCAAAGGGCAGACCACATTTAGGTCCCTTGAGACTGGGGATCCTGGACTCAGAGGGCCTTATTCTGAGCAGAGGAAGAAGGACAATGGCCTATGGTCTGACCTGATGCTGGAAGAACCACAGAATGGAGGAAGGAAAAATTCTGACAGCAAAATTAATGATGGACTGAAGCTGGAGAGAGACGACAGGCAGACCACAGGGCTGATGAATAAGGGCTAAGCAGAGGAGTTACAGATGGGAAAAGAATCAAATATGGAAGTGATGTGTTGCTGACTAAAAGAAAGTGATGAGCACAGAGGCTCCTCTGTCTGTTCAGCTGTCTCAGGGTCTGCAGCTTCCCCCTCCCCCATTGATGCTGTCCACCAGTCTTCCTGAAAGAGCCTTTAGTCAAGTGATTGTCATACTAAAGGAATCCCAGGGCAAAGACACACAGATTGAAAAGAAGGTAATGAAACTGTTTATCACAAAGGACATAATTTTCCATGTAGAATGAACAACAACGCTCAGTGGTAGAGCACTCCAATTCAATCCCCAGTTACTGGAAAAACAACAACACTGAGATGCTATGAAGAAAATGAGGTGACAAGCCACAGATTTCAAGAAAAGATTCACAAAACATAGATCTGATCCAGTATAAAGAACTCTTAAAAACTTAGTAAGGAAACAAGCCATTTTTTTTTTAAATGGGCAAAAGATTGAAACAAACACTTTACCAAAGACATACCCACGGCCCAAAAAACATGCAGATATGCTCAACATCATTACTCATTAGGAAAACACAACCTGGAGCCTTAATGAGATGCCACTACTCATGTATTAGGCTACAATGAAAAGATAAAACAAAATAACAAATGACAGTGTCAAATGTCGGTGAGGATGTGGAGCAACTGGAATTCGCATGTATTGCTGGTAGAAATTAGGAATGGTTTTGGAAGACAAATTTGGAAATTTCCTATAAAGTTCCACACTTTATAGGAAAAGTGACTCAGCAATGCCACCCTTAAGAATTTACTCAACAGAAAAGAAAACTTAATGTTCACATGCCTGTACAACAATGTTTGTAGCAGTTTTATTTATAACTGTGAAAAACTAGCTAGGCACAGTGGCCCATGCCTGAATGCTAGCAGGTCAGGAGGCCGAGGCTGGAGAATTGCAAGTTCAAAGCCAGCCTTAGCAACTTAGCGAGGCCCTAAGCAACTTAATGAGACCCTGACTCAAAAAGAAAAAAAAATTAAAGAAAAACTGAAGGGGGCATGGGGAGCGGGGGATGTATCTCAGTGGTTAATCCCTGGTACAAACAAAACAAAAACCCTGAGAAAAACTAGATACAATGAACAATCCTTGAATTGGTGAATGTATAAATAATCTGTAGGGCAATACTACACAGCAGTAAAAGAAAATAAACTACTGATAGGAACCACACAAGGATGAATCTCAAAATGCATTGTACTAAATAAATGAAACCAGATTAAAAAGGCAAAGACTCCATTTATACTTGATTCTGGAAAAAGAAAAACCAGAAGGACATAGGGAGAGAAATTGACAACAGAAGATGATGAAAGAATTTTCTGAGGTAATGAAACTGGTTTAACCTTGATCATGGTGGAGAGTGCAGGAAGGTATCCATTGGTCAGAATCCTTAACCACAGATTAAAAAATGGTGAATATCACTGTGTGTAAATTATTCTTCAATAAACGAATTGGAAAAAAAAAAAAAAGTCCTACCATGGCTCCCAGGTTTTTACTTCATCCCAACTAAATTCCATGCTTGACTTTCTGGGCCTTTTAAATCTTAACCCCTCCATGGGGTTACCTTCATTGCCCATGCCACCTCGTGCTTGAATGATGAGCCATATCCTCATCATTCCCTTACCATTCTACTTTCTGGGTTTCTATGCTTTTTGCACAGGTGTGCCTCTCACAGGCAATGCCCTCCTGTCCTCTACCTCTCCACAATCACACCAGGACGTGTAGGAGTGGCATGTCCTACTCCACAATGCAGACCTCACCAAACTCTCAGTTTCTTCCAGTCTGCTATACCACCCAGAACTGACCCTCTCAGAATGTGCCTGGGTGTCTGCGGGTGTTATTCTGACCTCAGGTTGCTTATCAACACAACTGCACCTCTATATCCATCTCTCAAATAACACGCAGCCCAGCACACAGTAGGCTCTGGAAGCAAAGCATCCAGAGAGAGAATGACCAGCGAGCTCCAGGGGGAGGAGAGATTTGAGCTGCATCTTAAGAGATGGGTCTGGAAGGACTAAGGAGGCACCCAACATCAAGGCCAAGGGCAGTGGAGAAAGCACAGGTGGCAGAGGTGCAAGATGCCTCTGCACAACCGGGTATCCCAGCACAGGCACTGGGCCCCACTTACCTGGCCTTCATAGGAGCGCGTGGCGGTGCTCATTGCTACAGCCTGGATCAGGAGTCCCAAGGTGAGTGGCAACAGGGCGCCTGTGGCAGGGACAGCCACTATGAAGCTGTAAGCAGGCTAAGAAGCCAAGCTGCTGGACAGTTCCTCACTGGCCCTGTGTCCTAACCCAACTCCGCCCTCCCTGCGCCTGCCCCATGTGGCCCCGCCCACTTACTCTTCCTCCCTGAACTGGACTGTTGATCCAGTACACCCAAAGGAAACCTCAATCCACCACGCTATCCTCCTGCCTGTCCCTTTTCTACCTTAATTACCCCTCTCTGTGGCCCTGCTAGATTCTCAACTAGACAGTGCATCCAACTCAGCCTATCTCCTTGACACCACTCACCTTCAACATGTCCTTGACAAGTCCTTCCAAAGGGCTTTTCCCTCTAGCCCCGCCCTCTCCACCCCTCTCTCCCCACAACCCCTGCTGTTCCCACTGTAGGAACAATGGGAAGAATCTCCTTGAGACTGTATGGATATGCCATGGCTTTGTCCAAGGAGAATGGCATCTCGCTGGTGCTCACAAGGAAGATGGTGCACATCACCACCAGGGCACCCAGGTACAGGAAAGGGGACATGAGCAGCAGCAGGAAGAGCCTGGATGTTACGATTCCCCACGCAGTTGTTCACCCACCTACAGTGGTGGTCAAACTCCTAGCAGAGAGGACCAGCCTGGAGAGTCCATCTGGCCTCCATACCCCCGGAATGCTTAGGCCTTCCACTACTCTGCCCTCTAGGCCACCTGCTCTTGGCCCTACAAGCGGGTTCCATCTCAGGGAGAACCTGGCACTTTCCATTGTTAGAGCACAGTTAGGACTCTACAGGTAATGTATCACGATTGAGGTCTTTAGAGACAAGACCTGCCTGGTGTCACTTGGAAGAGGATATAGAATAACTCTGGGTCTCTATTTTCTCAGATACTGGATAAAGATGAAAAGAATTCCCTGGCCCAGCCAGCTTTTTTGCACTTGGAAACCTGTGCAGTGTGTATACATGGGAGAAGAGCACTCAGAACCCAGGAAACACTCCAACTTGGACACCCAGATGAAGACAGGCAAAGATTCCCCAGAACGGGGCAGCAGCTGGACTAAGAGTTTGGGTACCTAGTATCAGCAAGCCAGGAGTGGGACAGGCGCTGCCTTTCCTCCCCCTGATTCTGCCCATTGCATGTCAGCACCTGTGCAAACAGGGTGAGCCTCTCAGGACTGGTACAGACACAGAGGCAATAACAGATGTAAGTGACCAAGACGGGCTAGGAGCCACTTTTGACAGTCTGGGAAGATGGTCTCATGCCTACCCCCTGGCCCACTTATACTATGAGGCTCCTGGTCCTGGCCAGATGCCCTGTGATGGGTTGGTGAGTGGACAGGGAGGAGGAGTACTCACCTCCTCACAGATGTTACAACATCCACAGTGGAAGGTCCTGGGTAGGCAGTGGAAGGAGCAATGGGGACACCAGAGCATTTGAAAGGCCCTTTGATACATCCAGGCCACATATGCTGCCTCAGGGAGCCTGGCATGGGAAGAGGTTTGGGCAGTGGTAGGAGGCCCTTCCATCATGGGGCTGCCCTGATCAGCATCACTGGGCAACAAGAAGGATGGGGAGGAGGTGGGCAGGGGAATCCTAGTCCTTGTAGAACAAGCTGACCACTCCAAAGAGCTGGCAGTCAAAGAAAAGGGGGTTTCCAGCCATAAGAGCTCTCTATAGAGCTCCCCCCTTTGGAATAGTGATTAGTACTTGAAGTCATGTGTGAAATGGGCAGGAGGAAAAATAAACTGTGTGGTTTGGTGTAGGAAGCCCTTCTCGCACATGATTTGAGCTACCTCCCTGGCTGGGTGTGAGGCGCTTAGACACACTGTGTCAGAGCCTTCCCCATCCTGCCCCAGGTCCAAGGGCTTGTCCGTGTGGGGGTGTGCCTGACCACTGACCTGAGAACCAATCACTGACCCTGACCTTGGAATGCTGCTCCCCTCGACCTTCATTGGATGGAATTTTCCCCTGAATATTTTGTTCCCCAATAAAAACTCACTCCCTGGCGTGTTTCTCTCTCTCTTGCTGGCCTCTTGTGTAAACCTCGCTACCGCATCAGATGGCTAGAGGCAAGAGCCAGGAGGAGCCGTCTCTGAGCTGGACAAAAAAAAGTAAATTGAGAGTCATGTCTCTTTAATTTGAACTCACTAGTTAATTTCTATGTTTTGAGCCTCTAGTATGAAGCTAGCGTGCTGGTCGCATGGCTGAGTTTGGAAGAGACTGCTAGCCTCTCTTGCCAGCTTGCCTGGTCCTTCCTTCTGAAGTAACTGGAAACCCTCCGAGATTCTGTTTCTTCTTGCCTCAGTGGCTGGAAAATGAAGTGCCAGGGCCTAAGTGAGGATGACATGGAAAGAAGGAATTCTGAGCCATAGGTGGGGTTAGCACTTTAGAAATCACCCCTGTAGGGCTGAGGATATGGCTCAAGTGGTAGCGCGCTCGCCTGGCATGCATGCGCCTGGGTTCCATCCTCAGCATCACATACAAAGAAAGATGTTGTGTCTGCTGAAAACTAAAAAATAAAT